TTTAAATGATCAAATGTTTATTTACAGGCGTGAGTGAGAGTTGCTTATGAAGTTGAGTCGGAGCATATTTTATTTGAAGCTAGTAAGAGCGTACTGTACCTTCCCATTTTGTATTAATCTAAGGATTGAGTGATGTTAAGTTTATTGATTATTTTTTTTAACAAAAGATACCAAAAAAATATTCACATTAATATTCTACCTCTTAAAACTCTTATCATTATTAATGTAATCATTCCCATTGATATATCATAATCCTCGTCATCTTATATAAACAATTCTCGTGTCACAATGTTAGTTACCATACTCCTCCGAAACGGCCTGACCGATTTTTATGAAATTTTATATGCATATTCCGTGGGTCTGAGAATCGGCTACTATCTATTTTTCATATCCTTAAGTGATAATGGTTGTCCACCTGTAACGTAGTGTTCTGAAACCTACAATGCGCCAAAGTTCAAACTATTGGATATTGTAACGTAGTGTTCTCATATGGGTTAGGAGGAATCATATCCCAGTAAATTGATAGAACCACTACGTTACACACCCCTAAAATTTTTTTTGGACAATATTTATTTTTTTATAATGTTGTATTAAAAAATACATACAACCCTTAATTTTCTTTTCTACCACCTGCCCCTATTTTTATGGTGGTACGAAGTATGCTGGGTCAGCTAGAATAAATTATAAATTCTTAAAAAATTCAAATCATTAATTATTATTGGAACGAAGTTCCTTACGGCAGGCTTGGGGGGATAGGGATTTTGCTGCGCGACCGAACTGAAAAAAATGTGCTAGTAAAAACGTAAGAAAAAATCCGTGGAAAAAAGTGCGTGGAATAAAACCGTTAAATGAGACGTGCGTAGGCGCGACAGTCGCATACACAAGCGAGTTTGCAATTTGTGTCGATTCTACATTAGCCGAAGGAACTTCGTTCCTACCTGGTGTCCCACGACACCACATCATTATTAAATACATTGTTAAACGAAATCTATAAAATATAGTTAAACCCGTACATTTTCTAAATAGACGTGAACCAATTCGTAACATTTCCAAACTTTAATTATTCATTTATTATTACAAGGGCAATGTTTACCAACGCGAAGGGAATGTTTGTGACGCACCGTCCGTCGATAACTAAAGGCAGTTTAAACGAAAGTTTAAAATTTCAATAACCAACAAAATATCCCCTTGATATTTTCCCATGAAATCCAAAGTATGATTGAATAAGTTTTGTAATCGAACATTTTCCCTTTGAACAACGATAAATAATACTTTATTGGTTAACTAGCCGTGCCCCGCGGTTTCACCCGCGTTTACAATCATCAACAAATATATTTCGACAAAGATTATTACAGGATTTTATATTGATAAAAAGCTCTATGGCCCATAACATCTTACACACGTGATAACTTTTAAACGAAATATCCGATTGAGATGAAACAAAAAGTATTTTACTTCTACATAAATACTTTTGATAACATAATGCTTAATTTCGATAAAGATTAATATTAAGATACATATTTAACGTAGTTTTTTTTTCTTCAGACGATTTAATAATTATTTTGAACACAAAATGGGTTATTGTGATTAAACCATGATAGCTAGATATATATTCTCGCGGACTATTTTATAGGTCTTAATGGGATCTACAAACCCGTAGTACATCATTTTGTTCTATTGTCAATAGTTTTTGCAGCGCACGCAAAAATAGGTTTTCGATTTTACACCTTGTGTTACAAAATAGCAATTCTATTGCGGATCCCTAATTTTGAAAAAAAAAATATAGCCTATAGCCTTCCTCGATAAATGGACTACCCAACGCTGAAAGAATGATTCAAATCGGACCAGTAGTTCCAGAGATTAGCGCGTTCAAACAAACAAACTGCAACTTTATAATATTAGTATAGATAAATACAAATAGGCATTTTGATGCGAAATTTCCTAGTAATAGTGACCTACGGCGGAATTCTAATTAAACAACTTTGTTACCCAGTCGTATTCTCTTTCAGCAGTCATCATCATCATCAGCCTATTAATGCCCCCACTGCTGGGGCACAGGCCTTCCCTATAGATGGAATAGGGAGATTGGGCTATGACCCACCACGCGGGCCCAGTGCGGATTGGCGGATGCTAACGACTGCAGCTTAACGTGCCTTCCGAAGCACGGAGGAACTCAACAGAAAATTTTTAGTTACCCATCCAATGACCGACCACTGCGAAAGTTGCTTAACTTCAACGATCGCAGCCGAATGCCCTAATCACCCAGGTCATCGAGCTCCTCAACAGTATATAGTAGAAATTTGTCCCATGCTGAACTGAGAATAAATTAATACGTAAAATGTAGCCTAGAAAACGGTAGTAGATTTTCGTATAACAATTTGTTAGTATTGTTTCCGAACAAAACCTCTTAAGCGGCGTTTTCACTTCGTGCTCAGAACAGTTCTGAGCGACCAAACATTTGTTCGCTCGGTAAATAGAAATATCAGAGTGTTCGTACGAGTTCGTTCAACGACGATTGGCTGATCTCAGCAAGCGAATGCTCGCTCGCTCAATCATGCAACGGAAACAAATTTGTACCCATGGGATCGTACAAGATTTTGTTCAGAATACTTGTACTCTAGCTCGATGGCGCAAGTGGTAAGCGCGATCAGCTGCGATCGTTGAAGTTAAGCAACTTTCGCAGTGGTCGGTCATTGGATGGGTGACCAAAAATTTACTCTCTCGAGTTCCTCCGTGCTTCGGAAGGCACGTTAAGCCGTTGGTCCCGGCTGCATCTGCAATCCTTAGCACCCACAAATCCGCACTGGGCCAGCGTGGTGGGTCATGGCCCAATCTCCCTATTCCATCCATAGGGAAGGCCTGTGCCCCATCAGTGGGGACATTAATAGGCTGATGATGATGATGATGATGACTTGTACTGAACATTTGTTCGTTTAGCTATGAGACTGGAAAGAAGGATTAATTGTAAAGAAAATTTTACTAGAAAAAATTCCACGCGTACTAGGCAGCAGACAGGGCTCGATCCCGCATCCTCCACTATCCGGGCGGCTGCACTGACCATTATGCTACCGCGGCCCTAATTGTCCGTTCCAATTTTCTCTAGTATTTCTTAGACTGTGGGGCACTCTAGTAGACTTTTCTTTAGATTTAAACATTCTTAAAACAATCACACTAATATTATAAAAGCGAAAGTTAGTGAGTGTATGTTTGTTACTTCTTCACGTCTAAACGGCTGGAGCGATTTTAATAAAATATGGTATGGAGTTAGCTGACACCCTAGATTAACACATAGGCTACTTTTATCCCGAAAAAATGATAGGTCAAGAAACTAAGTTAACACAGACGAAGTCCCGGGCGAACTCTAGGCTTGTTGAAAATATATCGATGTATCGATATTTTTTGTTCGATATATCGATATTTTTAGCCGATATATTTTGGTTCGATATATCGATACATCAATACAAAATAACCAATATCAAAATTCGTATCAAAAACGATATTTTTTTAATTGTTAGCGACATATCACGATCTTACTAAATTCGTATCTGGAAAAATCGTAACGAATTTTCGTTCCATTATTATTCCACGTGTCATCTTTCGTGAGATACTGTACTGTCATGTAGTGTAGTGAGCGGCAATTTGGTACTTTGATAATTCTTTCTTTAATTATAATTTGTATTGTTATTATTTCCGATTTTAAAATTGGTCCGATATATCGCTGTTTTTTTCGCGATATATCGAAGCCGATATTGATATTTTTTTAAATATCGATGTATCGATATATCGATATTTTTTTCAACTTTCGACATCCCTAGCGAACTCTAGTAAAAATATAAGTATTAGCTGTTTTGAAAACTCGGAACCTCAATGGAAACAAGGCTTTATAAACATTGACATGACATTGTGAGTTGCCTATAATGCGAAGAGATGGCGCTGCATTGCAGCTTAAGAATGGCAAGAAGAATTTCGACGCGGTCCGTGAGGGCCGCTGTAGCATAATTGGTCAGTGCATTCGCCCAGATTGCGAAGGGTGCGGGTTCGAGTCCCGTCTACTGCCTGGTTCGCGTGGAATTTTTTCTAGTTATATTTTCTTAAGGCTTTATAAACCTAAAAAAATGACTGGGAAACAGAGCGCTGCTCCAAAAACAAACATTTACTAGTCATACATGTAGCAGATATAATATGTATATTATGTGGATATGTCAGCACACCAAAAGGCGGAGTTGACTTACCCGGACGACTGTTTTCCCTTTTAAAAAATAAATTTAAAAAAAACCTTTTTAAAAACAAGCTTTTATTCAAATGCGCTAAAAAGAAAAAAAGAAAATTTAGTTAGTTTGTTTCTAAATAGATTTTCAAATTTTAGAAGTCCGCCATATTGGATTGAGAGTGACGTCACATTTTTTTCGAGTTACTCTCAGCAAGCCCTTTCATTTGATACCCATACTGTAGGAATGCATTAAAAATGATTGGTCCGCCATTTTGGGTATGCCGCCATATTGGATTTAGAATGACGTCACACTGTTAATCATGCATTGTCATCCGAACTGAACGAGCATACCAAATTTCAGCTTAATCGGTTGATGGCAAGTGCTTTAAAATTGAGTTGTAAGATTTGACCGTAACAAACATACATAGCAAGTTAAATAAAAGCTTGTAACTTGTAAAAATGTTATGGCTTAGATACATGACGACACCTGACACTAGACACTCAGTGTATAATTCGGAAGTATTTGTGTGTCCATTGCCGCGACACTTAGTTGCAGACTACAGACAGACAGTTAGCCGTGGAGACAGGATGTGCGACAGACAACCATACATTTGCACCGGGAAACTAGATATTTACAACTAATGTTGACACAAAAAATTGCTTACCGTGTGGACGCAATGGACACTGGTGTCGACATTTGTGTCGAGTGTCAGTGCCATCGTGTATCTGACATTTGTGTCGAGTGACAGTGTTGTCGTGAATCTGAGCCATTATATTTTTTTAAAGTTACCTTTCTCATGACGTCCCCAGCAGACATGCCCGGGTAGGGGGTGGAGCCGAGGGTAACTATCTCCCACAGCAGCACCCCAAAGCTCCAAATGTCAGACTTCACGCTGAATATGTCATCGTAAAGGGACTCTGGCGCCATCCATCTGAAATAATAACATTATATTTAATTGCGGCCTTCCACACTGGACGGGTAGCCAAAAATATGGTTTTTAATTTTGGTCCTTCGAGCCGGATCACATTAAGAATCGCTGTATGTAGCATTGAGTAGCTCGGTGGTGCAAGTGGTTAGCGCTTTCGGCTGCCATCGTTGAAGTTAAGCAATTTGCGCAGTGCTCGGTCATTGGATGGGTGATCAAAAATTTACTATCTCGAGCTCCTCCGTGCTTCGGAAGTTACGGTAAGCCGTTGGTCCCGGCTGCATCTGCAGTCCTTAGCTCCCACCAATCTGCACTAGGTCCGCGTGGTGGGTCATGGCCCAATCTCCCTATTCTATCCTGTCGAGAGAAGGCCTGTTCCCCAGCAGAGGGGACATTAATAGGCTAATGTATATATAATGGGTGATGATGTACATTAGAAACGTCGGCTAAACTTAATCTTAAATGCATTCGGCGTATTCACAAAATCGATACCTACATTAAAATTGCCATATTTTCTCTCTTCGATCTTAATAAAAAATCATTAATTTCAGAATTATTCAAATATTTATTGCATTTTTCATTTTTCCAAAGGTTGACTGGAAGAGAATGCTTTTAGCATTAAGTACGCCTTTTGCATATTTTTTTGTCAAGAAAGTTTTAATCTTCTATACTTATAATAAATCTGTAGAGATGTCAATTCTGTACATGAAATATATTTTTAAAATAACTATCAGGGGGTGATTAGTGATCGATACTGATGCCAAAAATGCAATCAGTAAATTTTTTGTCTGTCTGTCTGTCTGTCTGTGGGTTTGTTCCTTATAGAAACAAAAACTACTCAACGGATTTTAACGAAACTTGGTACAATTATTCTTCATACTCCTGGGCAGGTTATAGTATACTTTTCATCACGCTACAATCAGTAGGAGCAGAGTAGTGAAGGGAAATGTTGGGAAAACGGGAGAAGTTACTCCATTTTTTAAGCTTCCGTCGCGTGTGCAGCCTTAATGATTAAAGTTACATAGAAATCATGTATGACGGAAATATTCTACATAAAATTGTCTAAAAAATATCCCGCAACAGCATATGTCTATCTTTTATGGTTGACTCACAATAACACGTGTAACTCCCGATAGCTTAGCAGTTCGGAGCATTCTGATCATATTTGTTTACTCTTACGTTTATAATACTCGGTATAGAAACACCAAACTTATACATGAAATAAGCCATCGCGCCGTCGCACGTGAATACTGAATCATGCTATAAGGATTATTTTTGTGTAACGGTTGCCGCGCTCGACACGGGTCGCGGCAGCGGTAGGGTATCAAAGGTCCGAGAGCGAGCTGTCTAAATCTGTTTTCTGCGTCGCTCCCCCCCCTGGGGGCGATCGCTTCCGATGAAGCCTTAGAGGCCTTCCCGGCCAGAGGCAGCCCCTACGGGTGTTTTTATTCAGTACCTTGCAGCCGGCTGTAGGGTATCCATGAGGATTTCTCATCTGCTCCCCCGCCTGGGAGACCGAAACCGTGCTTATCAGCGCGACTTTTAGTCTTTAAATAGTTTATTTGAATTTCTTTTGTTGTTATTTTGTAAAACAGGTATTAGTTGTTTTGGTAGTGTTTAAATATTCGTTCAAATTAAAAATTATTAAGCGTAGGTACTTTTATTAATTAAAGTAGTTATAAGTATTTATTTTTAAGTGAAGGAGGTATAGGTAGATAGTATTGCACAGGCGTTTCAGCTTTATTTTCATTTCTTTTTTGTTGTGAGTTGTATATATTTCTGGTTATAATTCTATAAGAATATTTTAGTTCAAATAGTCACTTAGATTTTATGTGTAAGGTAGCTAAAGTTAGGACCACGTATTAGTTGTTTTGGTAGTGTTTAAGTATTCGTTCAAAGTGTAATTTAATCATATAGGATGAATGTACGATGGCCCATCGAAAAGGAGTAGAAGCGGTAGACAGAACTTTAAGAGATATAAGACAAAATGATCGACCCATGGGCGGTATCACAGTTTTATTTTGTGGTGATTTCCGACAAACCTTAACGGTAATACCACGGGGAACCCGAGCTGCTGAGGTTAGGGCTTGCCTGAAAAGCTCTTATTTGTCGCGTGATATACAATCGGTGCATTTGACTATAAACATGCGAGTGAGAACTGTAGATAACCCGGATGATCGTGAATTTTCTGATATATTATTAAAGAAAATACCTTCACCAAAGATACCTATCCACTGCTACACCAAGGAAAACTTATTCTGACGCCTGAGTTATGTTGTATAGTGCAATCCCAACAACATCTTACATCGTCAGTTTACGGTGACGTAACAAATATATTAAATAAGAACAATTCTTGGCTATGCGAAAGGTCCATTTTAACTCCTCGCAATGACCAGGCATCTGAGATTATTAATAAAATACTGTCGAATATCCAGGGGGAAAGCAAAGTTTATAGTTCAATAAATAGAATGGCCGATGAACAAGAAGCCACTAATTACCCGATAGAATTTTTAAATTCTTTAAATATGCCCGTACTTCCTTCTCATGAAATTTGTTTAAAAATTGGCATTCCGATTATTCTGCTCCGAAATTTAAGACCACTGCAATGGAACTCGGCTTAAAGTAACCCAGTTGCAACAAAATGTAATCGAGGCTCAAATTTTAATAGGTTGCGGTGCAGGAGAAACCATCTTTATTCCCAGAATTCCCATAATACCAAATAATTTTCCATTCCAATTTAAAAGAACGCAATTCCCAGTATCGGTGTGTTATGCAATGACAATAAATAAGGCTCAAGGGCAGACCTTTCGTGTTGTTGGAGTAGATCTCGGTGTCAGTTGTTTTTCACATGGTCAGTTATGTCGGTCTTTCCCGGGTTAGCAGTCCTAGAATTTTTTATGTTCACGTTCCGGACGGGTCAAATTTCAACGTAGTCTACCCGGAAGCTTTGCGCTGAAGTATTTTCATTCTATATGTACTTAAGACTCATGTGAAAGCGATCTAAACAATATTACCAACATTAACATAATAACATACAAGGAGTTACACGCTGATGGTCTCGGGGCACAGTGATAATAATAATATTCTGCGGTTCCTTATTGCGATATTTTTAACAGTTATTATATTTCCCTACTAAAATACGAAAGTTAATCTGTCTGTCACATCAAAACCACGTAACCCTGAGGAAGGACATATGCTACTTTTTTACGAAAAACGACGATAACGCGGACGAAGTCGCGGGCAAAAGCTAGTAAATAATAAGTTTTAGAAATACTCAGAACACCTGTTTTTCAGAACTTGTAATAACAATCTCATAATGGTACTAATTATTTAAGCTAAGTTGACTATTTGAGAAACATTAAATAACTAGAAAAAATTCCACGCGGACCATTTAGATTTAAACATCAAGCAGTTACATGCTTTAAAAATAATAAAAATTATAACATTAAATAAATTACAGAATTGTGTAGGCTTTCTGTTCGTTTGAAATTGATGATTACATCAAAGTAAGTTTATAGAATTTATTTTCCTCTAATTATTTACACACACATTTATTTTGTCAAAAGGAGATTGAAAACGGTGGGCCCTTAAGTAATAATTTGAGATATGATCTAAAAAAATCGTCATATTTTTTTATCTAAGAATATGAAAAATTACTTCAATTCTCGATCTGGAAGCAGAGATATAAGAGATAGAAAGTTTTCGTGAGATAATCGATTCAGTAATCAATTATATAGTAACGAAAATAAAACTTTTGCACTAAACAATTAACTCAAAGTAATTAAATGCAATATACATACTTAAATGCACTATAGTGCACATAATTACAGTCATATTAATAAATCAAATAACAATTAATGACTAAAAAAACCAATATTAGTGATTATTGATTCTTATCTCTCTTATATGTAAATAGAAACATGTGGATAAATATTATAAATATGAATACCTATAACTGTTACATTATTACAAAAAATAAAGATGTGGTTTTTGGTTCTACTACACCAATTGGTCAAGAGATGGCGCTGTAGTCTCCTGAATCGCGCTTTGGTTCCGTTGTTCCAGATTAATAAATACTTTTGATAGGCCTTCACAATGCAGTCGTTAGCACCCACTAAATAGAGATTCTATTTCTATTTTGTTGGTAGATTTTCTTAATGTGCGGTAAACACAAAAGTAACGCATGAAGTTCAACAAAGACCAACTTCATGCTGTTAAAATTTTGTGTTACAGTGATGCGCTCGCATCTTAAAATTTCACTCTCATCATTTTTTCATAACGCGCCTAAAGAAGTATAACTTCAATAATAAATAAATAAATATTTCCAACACTCACAAGCCTAGCTCCAAAGTAAGCACTGTAAGGCTTGTGTTATGGGATGCTAGGGTAACGGCTAGAATACATAATTATACTGTACATATATAAGTATATTTTTATAAAGAAATACACCTAAACATCCATGACACACAAACATCTGCCCCCACCGGGATTCGAACCCGGGACCTCTCGAGTCGGCGACACCATGAAACCCGGCGTACAAACCACTCGGCCACGGAGGTCGTCGTATGTAACTGACATGACAGCTGACTGACCCATCACCTACTTCATACCTGCACAATTTCTAGACGACATTTTAATTATAATAGAAGAGGAATATCTTTATATATATAATTCTTCTGTGAGTGTGTATGTCACTGAACTTCTCTTAAACGACTGGACCGATTTTGATGAAATTTTTTGTGTGTGTTCAAGGGGATCTGAGAATGGTTTAGATTCACAATTTTGTCCGCTGGACAACCCCTATTTTTTTAGGGCGGTACGAAGTTCGCTGGGTCAGCTAGTAATACTATATTTAAATGATTTTTTATTTTATTTTAGACATCTTTTCCCTGTTATTGATATTAACGGGATTTTTACCATGTACCTTGTTTTTTATGAGTCTCCGATATTTCGGCACTGTTGTGTGCGGGGAACAAATGCGAGTGAATAGTGAGAATGTGACCAGTGGTAGTGGTAGTATCGAACGCAGTAAAAGACGACGTCAGAGGGTAGACCGATATGTCTGCCAATAACATCTACCCGCAATTACTTCAGTTACTCCGTGATCATGGCGCTTGCAACAGTGCCGAAATATAGGAGACTCATAAAGACAAGGTACATTGTAACAATCCCGTTAATATCAATAATGTTAGTGACCATGAAAGTTTAAAACAATATATCTTTTCCCTATCTCCTTACCTGTTACCTACCTATCGCTTGAAGTCGTTGACGTTCATTCATATGATTTCTCAAACATGTTCTAGTAAATATGATAACCTATTAGCGCAAAAGAACACATTTTGTACTTCACGAATGAGCTGTTAGTTAAAGATTGTAACATAACCTCACTTTTACTTAATCTCTTATATCTCTGTTCACAGATTGACAAAATCCGCAGATTTTTCAGTGAAAGGTTGATAACATATAAGCTATTAAATGACACCACTTTCATCTTCTTACACCTGGGCCCAAGATATGTAATCGTTTGTCTCCTTTGCGTACAAAATTACTTTCTCAAAATATCAAAGTCTCTTGTACAGGTAATGATGTAACAAGAAAGTTCAATATTTTTTTTGTAAAGAAGGTTTAAATCATATAGCAGTCCGCGGCGCAGTAAACGAAATTCTCCGTGATGTAAGCTCGCGGGAGATGTCATTGATTGTATCTTTAGCATGAATTAGCATTGAATTCGAATCAGTACCTCCAGCACGAACCAATATTGAAATTGTATGGAAACCCGAACAGAAGCGCCACAACGGACGTAACAAAGAACTAGAAAATCAGTACACATTTGACAAACTATTCGAATTCGAGAATTTCGTTTACTGCGCCGCGGACTGCTATATGATTTAAACCTTCTTTACAAAAAAAATATTGAACTTTCTTGTTACATCATTACCTACACAAGAGACTTTGATATTTTGAGAGAGTAATTTTGTACACAAATTTTGACAAAACTGTGTAGATAATTAGAGGAAAATAAATTCTATAAACTTACTTTGATGTAATCATCAATTTCAAACGAACAGAAAGCCTACACAATTCTGTAGCACGCTATTCAAGTTTCCATACAAAATTTAACGATAAAATTTCGGACTCGCAAACTATTCGAATTCGATAATGGTTCGTGCTAAGGGTACTGTAGTTAAATTTTCAAGTTGAATTCGATCTTGATACCCGTCAAATGTCACGAAGTTATATATGCCAAAACGGACGTAACGAGAATTCAAAATGTTCCTTAAAAATGTTTTTGACATTTGGCACCAATCCGCACTGGGTCAGCGTGGTGTATCGCGGCCTGATTACGCTATTCTATCCATAGAGAAGGCCTCTCCGCAGCTGGTCATTAATGGGTAGTTTTTTTTAGATAGGTCCATCTTATGACTCCACGCCACCTGATGTTAAGTGACGGTGAAGTCCAGACGTGAAGATAGCTGGTAAAGCAGTTCTACCTGCCACACCAGCCATCTTCACCCTGCCGGCCTGCATGTTGCTTGTTCACGCCTCTTTCAAATGATCCCAGGTTGTAAGAAGGAGGGAACACGTGAGCAGGCAGAGCATTCCATTTAAGGATAGTGCGACAAAGAAATTTGTCGCCATTTCTTTGTGTGTGTTGAAATAGGGTGTTTGATTGTATTAAAAATAAAGTGCAAATTGTTAGCATCTGTGTTTAGACTGAATATTGGCAGGTGTTTTTACTATATTTCCAAAAAAAATATTCATAATTTTACTAAAAACCCACGAAAAAGATAATAGTTTTCGTGTCTATTGTCACGTGACCCAAAACGCTTGGGATTGGCGGAGCCTAAAATGACGTCACACGCAAGTAAACTTCCGGTTAAAGTGACATTACATTGTATCGTTTGACTTTTAATAACAGTCGTGTGACGTCACACTCTAGTCATCATAATCATCATCATTAGCCTATTAATGTCCCCACTGCTGGGGCACAGGCCTTCCCTATGGATGGAATAGGGAGATTGGGCCATGACCCACCACGCGGGCCCAGTGCGGATTGGTGGGTGCTAACGACTGCAAATGCAGCCGGGACCAACGGCTTAACGTGCCTTCCGAAGCACGGAGGAGCTCGAGATAGTAAATTTTTGGTCACCCATCCAATGACCGACCACTGCGAAAGTTGCTTAACTTCAACGATCGCAGCCGAACGCGCTAGCCACCTGCGCCATCGAGCTCCTCACACTCTAGTAAGACGCCATATTGTCCAGAAAAAACGTTTTCGCGGCAACTTGCGAAATGGAGTTTTTGATTTGGTTATTTTTACTGAAATACACAACAGGATGATGAATATCCACTTTTTACGGACTCCATAAACGTTAGTCAATAACGTGAGATCGTTTTCTAAAACTTGTCAAATACTATATTGTGGCCACAGTTACACGATGACAAAGTAAGCCAGCGCGCGTGGTCATCTAAAGGAAAGGGTAGGAAAGACAGATGAGAATGAAATGATGAACAAAGGAGACCCGGCACTTTTCATAGAAAAAATGCTAAACTTGTATACAGTTGAATTTGGTCTCAAAATAAAGCCAAAATTATTTGCTACATAAAACTACTTTTGCCTTATTTTTAGTGAATTATGGAAAGAAGTTATTTAATGATTAATATTTTTTGATATAGAAACCCTTTTGATGACAAACCTACGTATTTGACATTGACAGCTAGCTGCTGATGACAAATATTGCCAGACTACGTAACCCAATTATGAAACACAGATAAAAAAATTAAAAAGGTATACAACTTTGGCACAAAATGCCGGGTGTCCTTTATGTGAAATATTTCGTACCTGATCGGTAATCGGCCATCACTTTTCCTCTCATACACGTGAGTGCCGCCCACATCCCTCGCTAATCCGAAATCGGCCACTTTACACGTCCTCTCCTCAGTGATCAAAACGTTCCGAGCTGCTAAATCTCTGTGTATTATCTGCAACAAAACATGTCTGTTTACACGATGTTTCATTCTCTTTTAATGTACTGGAAAAAATATACCAATCTATCTATACTTATAATAAATCTGCAGAGGTCAATTCCGTACATGAAATATATTATCAAATTAACTATCAGGGGATGATTAGTGATTGATACTGATGCCAAAAATGCAATCAGTAAAATTTTTGTCTGTCTGTCTGTATGTATGTTCCTTATAGAAACAAAAACTACTCGACGGATTTTAACGAAACTTGGTACAATTATTCTTTATACTCCTTCCATACCCTACCCACCCTACCCTACCCTTCAACTGCAAACTATTCGAATTCGATATCGGTTCGTGCTAAGGGTACTGCACCCATAGCACGCTGTTCAAGTTTCCATACAAAATTTGAAAATGACATTTCGGACTCGCAAACTATTCGAATTCGATATGGGTTCCTGCTAAGGGTAAATAAATTTATTTATCAAAACTACTAATATTCATAACTAATAAATAAATAAATAAATATTTCCAACACACACACCAATTAGCCTAGGCTCAAAGTAAGCACTATAAGGCTTGTGTTATGGGATACTAGGGTAACGGATAGAATACATATACTGTACATATATAAGTATATTTATATAGAAATACATATTAAACATCCATGACTGGAGTACAAATGCTCATATTCATCACACAAACATCTGCCCCCATCGGGATTCGAACCCGGGACCTCTCGAGTCGGCGACACCATGAAACCCGGCGTACAAACCACTCGGCCACGGAGGTCGTCAAATAACGAGGTTAAACTGGTGAGATTGTAGGGGCTACGCTCTACATCTACCGATTTTGAATATCCTTCGACCAATAGAAAGCCACGTTATTAGCGAGTGTACAATATACTACGTGAATTTTGTGTTAACTTGGGAATCTTTAAATCGTATGTAAATATAAATAGTGTGAACAGTTACAAAGAGCAAAACATACTTAATTCCATACAAAAAAAAATTAACATTTACGAAATATCCTATAAACGACGCACATTATGTATTTAATATAACTTTTTTTTTATAACGCAGGTAAAAAATCTTTTTACAGACGACGGCGCCTTTAAGAGGCACACCGCCGAACGGACCTCACACCTGGCTCCCGCAAGTCTTACGGACCCCCCAGTGGCTGCCCACCGAGTACCCGCAACTCTTACGGGCGCTTTACAGCATAATATCCGCTAAAAAGTCCTGCGAATACCTTCTACACTGCTTAATGCGAAGCCGCGGGGTCCCCGTTAGGGATTCTACCACGAATGTAATGTAATGTTAATATACCTAATATGACACTGCTTTAACGGGTTTTACAATGCGTCTTTAATACTTTAACCCCGTTATTAATAAACGAATAATAAGCTTGGATAATAACAAATGGCATTTGAGTGACATGAACAAAACAAAAAGGATAGATACGGTACGTTCATACTTGCATCAAATAAAATATGACCCAACTCAACTACATAAGCAACTCTCGCCACGCACACGTCTGTAAAGACCAATAAACATTAATCGAGCGAGCGAGACAGAACTATACGCTTCAACGCAGCGTATTGTTGTCCTTTTCTTGTTTACAAAATGGCGATTACGTAAATAATATTCACGACAAACCGTGAATTTTAAGAAAAGAATTATTTCACAGTTTTACGAATGAAAAGTGTTGCCGGGGCATTTGATATTGAACTATTTGTGTTCTTTATAAAAGCATCGAAGGCACCGAATATCTCCATAACACAGAATATACGCAATATTGTTATATTGAGTGTACAGACAGCGTGTTTGAATGCCAAATTGTGACTAAAGCGAATTATGGTCGTGGACCACAATTATGGGGATCACTTTTGGTACCGTATCTTCCATTTTTGTTTTAATCTAAGGGTGTAATAGTAATTTATGCTACTGCCTTATAAGAAGGGGTATTAAAACACGAGATTCTGTTTATCGATGATAATAGGGCGACTCGAGTGTTTCAATACCTAAATTTGCATATAATACTTTATATAAGAGTGAAGACTCTTAGGAACAACTGTGTGCCGGATAACGCACCTTTTATATCACTATGTTTTGTCTATGAGTTTTCGATACTTTTTTTATTGAGATTGTTATTCTTTGACATTAAATAGTTTGCTTTACCTTGTCAATGCCACCACTGTTTTCTTTTCTTTTATAATAATTAAAAATACAGTCCTTATCCTCCACAAACTGAAATTAAACAAAGTAACAAAAAAGTATTTCGAAAAACTTTTCTCAAAGCCCGAAAACAAAACACGATCGACAGACTTTTTTTATGGGAAGCGCGAGAAATTAATTTCAAATTACGAAAGCGTGCGTCTCTTTTTTACATTCAGCCTAATAGCATAGCCTAATTTAATAAATAAAAGTATACTCTAATGAATAAAAAGTATTTTTACTATACAGCTAGCAGTACCGTAAAGTGTTTTATTTTTAATTTTATGTATGTGCGTTTATAATGTACGTCTTTATAAAACCCATCTTTTAATTTCGTAATTCGAATATTTAGACATGAGTGTAGATAAAGTTGAACACGTACTACTTTCGTAGTTTTTCGAAGGTAGCTCATCAGAATGATTAAAACACATAATCTAGCGAATGGATCTACAGGATCCGGATCAGAAAAAAAACATATAAAAGTATTAAAAAAATGCATTTAAACACGTTAAAATAGTTATATTTTTTATTTTTAAAAGGATGTAACTGCTTGATGTTTAAATCTAAAGAAAATTTAACTAGAAAAAAATCCACGCGGACTTAAGAATGGCTAGAGGAATTTCGACGCGGTCCGTGAGGGCCGCGGTAGCATAATTGGTCAGTGCATTCGCCCGGATTGCGAAGGGTGCGGGTTCGAGTCCCGTCTGCTGCCTGGTCCGCGTGGATTTTTTTCTAGTTATATTTTCTTTAGATTTAAACCTTAAAATAGTGTTTTATTTGACGATATGTCGTAAACAAAAATGACTTAAATACTCAGAAACATTTCTAGTTAAATAAAAGATTTTAAAAGAGTGGCATGTCTGCCAAAAACCTAGCCACTGCAGTAGATACTTCTGTCTCTGGCAGAAAAATGCCGAGTGTACTCGGACCGTACACACTAAATGCATTGTCTAGTTTCTAATGAATTCAGTTTTACTTCCCTAATTTGACAATGGGTTTGGGTCAGGCACATGAAAAGAGACGCTTTTGTAAAATTTCGTTTCAAGTTAAAAACAGTGGGACCGAATTTATAGCTCAGTTAGTTCGAAACAGCTAAAATATCGAAAAGAAAAAATACATACAAACAAAGAACACTGTAATGGAACGTAGCTATTAATGTCAGATTGACAGCCCGCCAAAAAGTATGTCACTCTGAAAGGGCGTGCGCCGCATAAATTAATAGGCTAGTTGACTCATGTCGAATTGTATTAAATAAATGTTTATTTCTTAAAGTATTTGGTCTAAGGAACCTAAATATATCGATTTCACTTCATAAAAGCAGAAGATTGCTGTAGAAATTTAATTAAAAAAAAAATCAGTCTATATTTTTTAAACACTAAAAACGCTGTTCGCCACATCCGCCATGATTGTGACGTCTCTTTTAGTAAACAACTAAATGTCATTCATACATAACTTTAAAACTTGTATTATTAAAACTGATAATAAATGAAGAGACTTAAAATATTATTCAATGAGAACTTACATCAAAGTTATCTTCGCAAAAATAAATTTTACTATGAGTCGATAAAGTTGCAGGATCACTTTTAGCAAGTTCTAACCAGGTATTGCGTAGATTAATTTCTTTCGGCACTTTAATCCACAACTTTCCTGGAGTCTTCAAGGATGTGTTTTTACATTCTCGTACAATACAATAATGATAATTACTATATTTTTCTTAGTATTTATTAGAAATCATGTTTTTTTTTTATAAACTCAGGTAGGTTATTTTCTACGTGCTTACGAGTTTTTGTTTACTACCGTCGACTTCATAGCATAGATAATCTATAGACTAAAATGACCGACAGCGTTTTTGTATGTCCATGAAAAGTCAATAGACTTTAATTTAAAATTATATTATATAGACTTTTATTTTAAAATTAAAGATTTGTAGCTTTCTAGGTCTCAAAAAAATACAATACTTTTTTTTCGGTCTAATAGAACATTTATTAACCATTTAAAACCTTTCTCTTTTCTCTTCTCTTTTCTTGTGATTCTTAATAATGAAACAAAGTATTCTTAACTATCAGTGCTTTATTTCCACAGAATAAAGAAAGAGGTTAAAAGGGACTTCAGAGACCTTTTGTACGGGAACCGATGTCGCCGGCTCGCCCGCACTACACTTACACCTAATAGATATTAGCCAATCAAACGCCGTGACATCAAACAATCGAACCAATCGGCGCTCACACCCCATCGCAACAAAGCAATCGTTGCCAAGTTTTGGTCAAGTTATGAGCATTTGCTCACAACTAACTGTGGCGCGCCTGCCCCGCCCACAAGGCCCTTCTAACATCTTTCTGTGTTCTGTGTTTATTTCTATAAACACGCTTGGATTACTAACTCCACGTTTTGTTTTTGTTCATTAAATGACAAATGGCATTAGAGTGATATGAACAAAACACGACGTAACTACTCTAAGGTAATTCCTCGTTTTTTAATAAGGGGATTAAAAATATATATTTAACTAGCGGCCCGCCCTCGCTCCGCTTCGGTGTAGAGCTGAAGTGTAGACTACAGTTTTTGTTCTCAGGCTTGTATTATACACAATGACATTCATCTACGATTTTTCTTATACCTGCATGCAAAGTCTCAGCCCGATCGGTTTAAAATTGACAAAGTTTCATACAAACTTTCATTCCCTATTTTATCCCCTTGCGGATAGAATTGATCAAAATCCTTTCTTAGCGGATGCCTACGTCATAACATCTACCTGCATGCCAAATTTCAGCCCGATCCGTGCAGTGGTTTGGGCTGTGCGTTGATAGATCACTATGTCAGTCAGTCAGTCACCTTTGAGTATTATATATATATATAGATTGATAAGGGTACCTATTGCGAAAAGTTCACCCAGTCTAAATCTAGTAGATTATTTTTTACGCCGCGCCATTATTTTGACCTTTTCCTTTCATATTTACAATCGATCTAATAAAAACAAAAAGTTTGTTTTACATTTATACAGAATTTAAACTACACAAAGCTTAAACCACCCAAAATCTAAACAAACTGTATCTGCCTATCTTTTTAATAGAGATTTTGTTAATTTTCTTTATAAAAATTAGCAAAACCCTGTTATTTTATTCGGCGGTTTTTTACTCGAATGGATTTTCAATGTGGATTTAAAGGGACCTATGCAAATGAACCGTTTTTCGGAGCCCTTCGGTAATCCTCTTAATTACAAGTATTAACGTTTGGAAACAAAGGTCAGGGAAAGCCCAGAAAAAATACTGAAACAATGACTCGTGAATAAAAGTCCATGTTTTTTTTTAATTAAAGTGATGTTGTGTATTTGTAGATTAGTTCAATAATGTTACGCAGGTAGAAGAGGTATAACAATATACTCTAATGCTATATGAATGTTGCCGTCTACAGAACACGGAAAGAGGATAGAAGGGTGATCATAGGCCGTTTGTACGGGAACAGATGTCGCCGGCTCGCCTCTACTACGCTGCAATAAATAACAACCAATCAAACGATACAACTACAACATTAAAAATTGGGCCAATTAGCACTCACACCCCAGAGCAACGATGCAATCAGAACCAATTTTTGGTCAAGTTATGGGCATTTGCTTCTAACGTCTTTCTGTGTTGCCTATTAAAAGAGCTGTGTTCGCCCGATTGGTATACTTTTTTTTTCAATTTCAATAAAACCGGGTCATCCGCTATTACCTTTGAACTTTAACTCGATTTTCCCAAAAAAAAAACAAAATTACAACTATCAAAGTCATAAGTATAGATTATTTCTATTCATAATTATTAAAGTGATTAAAATTTTATCCTAAAGTACTGTTAAATTACTCTGTAATCATGTAGGAAACACAACGCTATGCTATTTATAAAATAAAATTGAGAATTTCGTTCCTTTTAAAATATATAATACCAGTGGCCCGCCCTCGCTTCGCTTCGAGGTAGAATTGATTAAAATCCTTTCTTAGTGGATGCCTACGTCATAACATCTACCTGCATGCCGAATTTCAGCCCGATCCGTCCAGTGGTTTGGGCTGTGCGTTGATAGTTCACTATGTCAGTCAATCACCTTTGAGTTTTATATATAGAGATTAAGTCTGATACTTCTCATCATTTCGTTAGTTTTTGTCAATAGTTTTCCCAGATTTTTTACTTTAAACACAATTGGAAAATGACACTTCTTTGGAAATACTCTAAATGAAAAATTAATAACTAATCCAAATAAATTCCTGTAAGTTTTAATCATCATGAAACGCACATTCTGCATGTATAACTTTGATAGGTGTAAGTTTTATACTCTTTAAGAAAATCAAATCAGAGTTCCGACGTTAAGTGACTTATATGCCCCACATATAACTAACATAGAGGAAACAATCTTACGCCTCCTCAAGAGATGGCACTACCGGCGCTGCGTGCACAACGTAAGGAAGCCTACATCGCGCAAGTAAAATTCGATAGCCAACAGTTCATATATACGATGCCCGACCAACATCAGTTGGGCCGCGGCCCCCGAGCAACCATCACCCAGCTCGGAGGAAGATCTTCCCCTTTGGCCTTCCCACATATGTATTATTTGTAAATTATTTAAACATATACGTATAAAGAAGAAATCTATGAACTAGAGGTCCACGAACGGTATAAGTAATAAACGGCTTCGTAGGCACGATTGCTTACGCGATATGGGATACAAAGAGTTCTCTGCATACATTCACCCTTTTGGAATTGAGGAACTCCATCTCCTTCGTGATCTGGAAGGCAAATTACGTGAGGTCCCTGGAGGTGAAGAAATCCTGTGTGTGTTGCCGTAGTGGCGAGAGCGAAGCAAATTTCTGCAGATACTCACCCGTTTGGGACTGAGGAAGTCCATCCCCCTCGCAATCTAGAAGGCGAGGTGTGTGATGTCCCCAGAGGTGAAGAGCTGGCTCCCGTAGGTGTTGCCGTAGTGGCACGAACGAAGTGAATTTCTGCAGATACTCACCCCTTTGGAACTAAGGAACTCCATCCCCCTCGCGATCTAGCAGGCGAAGTGTGTGATGTCCCTAGAGGTGAAGAGCTGGCTCCCGTAGGTATTGCCGTAGTGGCATGATCGAAATGAATTTCTGCAGGTACTCACCCCTTTGGAACTAAGGAATTCCATCCCCCTCGCGATTTGGAAGGCGAAGTGTGTGATATCCCTAGAGGTGAAGAGCTGGCTCCCGTAGGTGTTGCCGTAGTGGCAAGATCGAAATGAATTTCTGCAGATACTCACCCCTTTGGAACTAAGGAACTCCATCCCCCTCGCGATCTAGAAGGCGAAGTGTGTGATATCCCTAGAGGTGAAGAGCTGGCTCCCGTAGGTGTTGCCGTAGTGGCAAGATCGAAATGAATTTCTGCAGATACTCACCCCTTTGGAACTAAGGAACTCCATCCCCCTCGCGATTTGGAAGGCGAAGTGTGTGATATCCCTAGAGGTGAAGAGCTGGCTCCCGTAGGTGTTGCCGTAGTGGCAAGATCGAAATGAATTTCTGCAGATACTCACCCCTTTGGAACTAAGGAACTCCATTCCCCTCGCGATTTGGAAGGCGAAGTGTGTGATATCCCTAGAGGTGATGAGCTGGCTCCCGTAGGTGTTGCCGTAGTGGCAAGATCGAAATGAATTTCTGCAGATACTCACCCCTTTGGAACTAAGGAATTCCATCCCCCTCGCGATTTGGAAGGCGAAGTGTGTGATATCCCTAGAGGTGAAGAGCTGGCTCCCGTAGGTGTTGCCGTAGTGGCAAGATCGAAATGAATTTCTGCAGATACTCAGCCCTTTGGAACTAAGGAACTACATCTCCCTCGCGATCTAGAAGGCGAAGTGTGTGATATCCCTAGAGGTGAAGAGCTGGCTCCCGTAGGTGTTGCCGTAGTGGCAAGATCGAAATGAATTTCTGCAGATACTCACCCCTTTGGAACTAAGGAACTCCATCCCCCTCGCGATTTGGAAGGCGAAGTGTGTGATATCCCTAGAGGTGAAGAGCTGGCTCCCGTAGGTGTTGCCGTAGTGGCAAGATCGAAATGAATTTCTGCAGATACTCACCCCTTTGGAACTAAGGAACTCCATTCCCCTCGCGATTTGGAAGGCGAAGTGTGTGATATCCCTAGAGGTGATGAGCTGGCTCCCGTAGGTGTTGCCGTAGTGGCAAGATCGAAATGAATTTCTGCAGATACTCACCCCTTTGGAACTAAGGAACTCCATCCCCCTCGCGATTTGGAAGGCGAAGTGCGTGAGGTCCCTGGAAGTGAGGAACTGACTCCCGTGCGTATTGCCGTAGTGGCGCTCAGCTCGGGAGTCGCGCAGGAACTGCTGCAGCTTGCCCACACTCACGAACTCCATTATCACCAGAGTAGGTTCCTGTGGAAAGGATAAACTAATTTAGTAAAATTAATAGGTACCCGCGATTTCGTCTGCGTGGAAAAACTGTTTTCCCGTACAAACTTGCCCCTCTTTTACCCCCTTAAAGTTTTTAATAGGATGAGAACCATCCATCATTTTTTTTTCCGATAATCAATTGTCAAGAGAAACATAGGTGTCAATTGAAAATCAGCATCAGATCCCACAAACCTGACAACATGCTGAATTGACAACCTGTTTTGGCGCAGCCGCGAGCTAGTAACAGAATAAATCGCCGTTGTAACAGTTATTATTAGAGTGTGTTACTTTTGTTGTTTGTTTACGATAATTTTGCTTTTTCTTGTATTTTTTTGTTCTCAAAATCTTGTATTACTGTCTCGTTGTTTCTGTCAAAATAAATGTATTTTCTTTCTTTCTTTCTTCTTTCATCCTATATCCTCCTCCTCCTCCATCCATCCTCTTATGAATAAGGGCTATTATAAAGTTAATGATAATCTAAATGTTCGTAATGCATGGACATAGTGTTTCTTGTAATAAGTTATTTGATGGGTATTAGTCAGTTTTTGTAACAGTAATATGGTACCTATCTAATGCCGCTTCCTTTATACTAAATATAAAATTTATTGTAACTATATACATCTATATCCTAAATGATGTAATGGAAGGTGACTTGAGAAGTATCTCTGAAGTCATTTTTCACCTTGACGACTCTGTAAATATCAATACAGGGAGAAAAAAGCAGCCCTTGCTGAGTTTCTTGTCGGTTCTTCTCAGTACAAGGTCTCCCGCCGTAGTTTTGCGAACCGATGGCGTAGCTTCTGACCTTCACAAGTGCTTGTAACAGCCTAGACTGAATAAATGACTTTTCATTTCATTTCACCACCCAAGGTAACTCCTCCGCGCCGCGCCGGGCCAGCGGGTTTGGTGTGTAGGCACCTTCATATTCATTTGTTTTATAGAGATATACATAATATCCATAGGTACAAACTTTAAGAAGCCTATAGCAGACGACTACCATTTCGTGGAAATATTTCATATTATATTATGTTCCAATTGACTTTGTAATAATAAGGTTGCTGAGTCTGTTACACGGTTTACTGAATATATTTTATTAGGCAATTTGGCAGTTCAAAGTGAAATTCCATTTGTGATATAAATAGACCCCAAATAGTGATTTGTTTGAGAAATATAATATATATATTTCTTTAAAGTTCAAGCACTTTTTAGAGTTCCGTAGTCCTGACAAGGAACCCTTAGTTTCGTCATGTCCATCCTCGATTTTGCTTGAGTCCTGTGGAGATTTTAAAAGAGGTATGGCTTAGTGGCTTTTTCATTTGAACTAGAACGCTTGTCCGAGGTAACAATCTAACAGAGACCGAATTAAAATACTTTGGTGTTGAAACCTTTTATTGTTGTACCTCGACCTTACAAAGACCGCAGTAAAATACTTTGGTGTTGAAACCATTTGGTGTTGTACCTCCACTTTACAAAGACAGCAGTAAAATACTTTGGCGTTGAAACCTTTTTGTGTTGTACCTCCACCTTACAAAAACCCCAGTAAAATACTTTGGTGTTGAAACCATTTGGCGTTGTACCTCCATCTTGCAGACCGCAGTAAAATACTTTGATGTTGAAACCTTTTAGTGGTGTAATTCGACCTTACAAAACCGCAGTAAAATACAATGTTGTTGAAACCTTTTGGTGTTGTACCTCCATCTTACAAAGACAGCAGTAAAATACATTGGTGTTGAAACCTTTTGGTGTTGTACCTCGACCTTACAAAGACCGCAATAAAATACTTTGGTGTTGAAACCTTTTTGTGTTGTACCTCCACTTTACAAAGACCGCAGTAAAATATTTTGGTGTTGAAACCTTTTGGTGGTGTACCTCCACCTTACAAAGGCCGCAGTAAAATACTTTGGTGTTGAAACCTTTTGATGTTGTTGTGTTTCTATCGGAAGGTAAAGTTCCTGGAAGCCATGAGATAGGCTTTTAGAGTCAGGAGAGGAAACACGCCAATATCACAAACTATTATAATTTATTATTCTTGTTTTTCAACCCTTTTACATAAAAAAATGTTAAAAGTTATTTTAAGTGTATGTAAATACATACGCTAAGTACAAACGTTTATCAGCGTGTTTTATCAAATTAATAAGTAGGTAAATTGAATCAAGAGTGCTTTACATTTTTAAATCTATTCGGTAAAAATTCTTTGATTACAAAGACACATGTCGTGAACCGAACATCCCATCAAAGTAAAACTTTTTTTGTGCTCATTTCATTTCCCTTGATATCCATTAATGTTCAAAACATTCCTGGAGATTACGAAACTGAGAATTTCTGTCATTAAAGATTATCAAAAGAAAAAGTTCCTAATTGAAATCATATTGAAATACTGCCTTTAATTACAGTAATGAACGTCATATAAAATTTAATCTCTTTAGATATAAAACTCAAAGGTGACTGACTGACATAGTGATCTATCAACGCACAGCCCAAACCACTGGACGGATCGGGCTGAAATTTCATATGCAGGTAGATGTTATGCCGTAGACATCCGCTAAGAAAGGATTTTGATCAATTCTACCCCCAAGGGGATAAAATAGGGAATGAAAGTTTGTATGAAACTTTGTCAATTTTAAACCGATCGGGCTGAGACTTTGCATGCAGGTATAAGAAGAATCATAGATGAATGTCATTGTGTAAAATACAAGCCTGAGAACAAAAACTGTAGTCTACACTTCAGCTCTACACCGAAGCGAAGCGAGGGCGGGCCGCTAGTGTAAGATAAAGAGAAGTGTGCAAGATTCACCCGGTGGATTATGTCATGGTTTAGTTTTAATATACAGTTTAATTTTTCATTACTTGTTGTATGTATGCAGGATAGTTCTTGTGTGCACATTCCTCAAAGAACAGAACAATAGGGTATTTGACAAGTTTTGGAAAACGATCTCACGTTACTAACTAATGTCTAGGGAGTCCATAAAAATGGATATTCATCATTCTCTTCTGTATTTTAGTAAAAATAACTAAATCAAAAACTAAATATTCAACTTGCCGCGAAAACGTTTCTCTAGATAATGTGGTGTCTCACTGGTGTGTGACGTCACACGACTCTCATTTAAACGTCAAACGATACAATGTAATGTCACTTTGACCGGAAGTTTACTAGTGTGTGACGTCATTTTAAGCTCCGCCAATCGCAGGCGTTTTCAATCACGCGACAATAGATAAGAAAACTAAGTATTATCTTTTTCGTGGGGTTTTAGTAAAATTATGAATATTTTATCTGTAATACTAGTAAAACCCCCTGCCAATATTCATTCTAAATACAGATGCTAACAAATTAGAACTTTATTTTTAATACTGTCAAATACCCTATTTGAATGGTTAGATATCGTAAGGCTTATGATTTTTTTTATTAGTTTAATTTTTATTTTTAAGCATTTAACTGCTAGATGTTTAAATCTAAAGAAAAGTTTACTAGAAAAAATCCACGCGGACCAGGCAGCGGACGGGACTCGAACCCGCATCCTTCGCAATCCGGGCGAATGCACTGACCATTATGCTACCACGGCCCTATTAGCCGCGTCGAGTCCCGTCCGCTGCCTGGTCCGCGTGGATTTTTTTCTAGTAAACTTTTCTTTATCGTAAGGCTTGTTAACGGCCGGTTTTTCTGCCGGGTCCAGGCACGGTTTCGGCCGGTACCAGGTAGATCACGAGCACGGTTCGTACGTTTGTCCACCCTCAAACCATCATTAGCACCGGTGTCGTTGACGAATCTGCATAGTGTCCCATACCTAACTGACATCCGTACACTCTACGAGACCTGACAATATTGAGTGGGCAGCCTCATAGGGACGCAAATGTTTAGACTTTATAATAAACTAGCGGCCCGCCCTCCCTTCGCTTCGGTGTAGAGCTGAAGTGTAGACTGCAGTTTTTGTTCTCAGGCTTGTATTATACACAATGACATACATCTATGATTCTTCTTATACCTGCATGCAAAGTCTCAGCCCGATCGGTTTAAAATTGACAAAGTTTTATACAAACTTTCATTCCCTATTTTATCCCCTTGGGGGTAGAATTGATCAAAATCCTTTCTTAGCGGATGCCTACGTCATAAAATCTACCTGCATGCCAAATTTCAGCCCGATCCGTGCAGTGGTTTGGGCTGTGCGTTGATAGATCACTATGGCAGTCAGTCACCTTTGAGTTTTATATATATAGATTACTAGCAAACCCAGCGAACTCCGCTTCGCCACCAGATAGCTTCGTTTTATGTAACATTTCGTTTTGTGATTAAAAGAAACGATTTTTTTTTAATTTTTCCTGAATTTTCTTTGCTATAAACCTCACGGAGCCCGAGACCTTTCCAACGAATGCAAAACCGTGGAAATCGGTTCGTGCGTTCTGGAGTTATAGCGTCAGGAAGGAAAACCCGACTTATTTTTATATAGTAGATAAGACACGATCGCAAATTTTTAGACCAAGATTATAATATTCAAAAGGTACCACAAGGTTCATGTGATATTTGGGTTAGTGAATGAAGTATTAAAATATTCTTTTCTACAATAGGTGGTAGGGAAAAAACTTGGGACGATTCAAAACAGTTGAATAGGGGTGATGACGGGGTGCAGTAAACGAAATTCTATTTAGTCCGTCAGTTAGATGATTAAAAAATAATGGACACGTATTTTTTCTTTGGGCAATCAACCAAAAAATGACAAAGTTATAGCGCGTCAAAGTTTGGGAGTAGGGGCTCGTGACGTGACTTTTGAGTGAATTTTCACTTATAAGTGTACTCAAACGTGACGTCATGCGACTTTTCAAATCAATATATCTTTGCAATGTTTATATTATGTGAAAAAAGAAAAAATACATGTCCAATACTTTTTGATAAAATACCTGATAAACGAAGAAAAAAAATAGTCATCATCCCTATTTTATGCTTCCTCTTTGAATAGAGAACATTAATAATTAGATTTCAGTAGACCTCCATGTGTGATGATGGATTCTGCAAGTACTTTAATAACAAAGTTGATACCTTTTCAGTGCAGCATCCGATGAGTCGGACCACGTTGGGATGGGTGCCCAGGTTCTTCATCACGATGAGCTCCTGGATAAGGTCTGTCTTCTCCTTTTCTGATGCGTTTTCTTTAAGGGTCTTCACTGCCACTATTTGTTCGCCTTTTTTGCCTGAAATAATTTTAAAGTTCAATAAAAGTTTTTCAGGGCTCCTCGGGATAGGGTATTTATTTATTTGTAAAAACACAAAACAGGTTACATTCATCTTGCTTCAGAGCCCTTCCGACACACCGTTGTCTTTTTTTTATATATTTACACACACCAATTAGCCTAGCCCCAAAGTAAGCACTATAAGGCTTGTGTTATGGGATACTAGGGTAACGGATAGAATACATATACTATACATATATATAAGTATATTCATATAGAATATATTAAACCTCCATGACTGGAGTACAAATGCTCGTGCTCATCACACAAACATCTGCCCCCACCGGGATTCGAATCCGGGACCTCTAGAGTCGGTGACACCATGAAACCCGGCGTACAAACCACTCGGCCACGGAGGTCGACAAAGTTTTGTAGTTATGTTCTCAAAAAACGAAACCGATAAAGAATTATAATATTTATCGAGACGACAAATTTGTGAGCGACAGTTGCACTCGACAAAAATTTTCGAACTGAACTCAATAATCATTAAAAAAATTTTTTTTTTTTTTTCATTTATAGTGCAGCCAGGTGAAAATTATTTAACTTGTTAAATTAATTTGATTAACATTTAATAAAAAAAATCTGTGTATAAAGTCTTATTAATATATTTTCAATATTTCTATCACGAGTTCTTTGTAATCAAATTTTAATTAACTTATGCATTGATCTGTTCAGAGTAACTTAATCAATATAAGCAAGTTTCTTACTTTCTTCGCTCGGTTCGCTCGAGTTCTTTCCAAGTGCAACTTACTTCAAACATCAGACAAATTATATTCTTAACGAATTTGTTTTTGATATTCACAAGATTATGAACTTCAACTCTCAAGTTTTTGTATCTTTTCTTTTAAAGAATTCATTAATATTCATGTAATCTCATTATCTATCTAAATATATCTCTATATGTTTGAAATAATTGTAAATTTCAAGAAAACGTGCAAATTCATATTAATTTATTCGGCCTTTTAAAAACTAGTCTGAAATTCAAATAGCTAAATCTTAGGTTCGCAAGCACCAAGGGCTGCTTTTTCTCTCTGCTTTATTTCATACAAGTCGTCAATCAAAAGATGCCATTAAAAACTTAACTCAAGTATTGGTGACAATACAATATATCTAATAATAATCTTATATATAAAATTCTCGTGTCACAATGTTAGTAACCATACTCCTCCGAAACGGCCTGAACGATTTTTATGAAATTTTATATGCATATTCCGTGGGTCTGAGAATCGGCTACTATCTATTTTTCATATCCTTAAGTGATAATGGTTGTCCACCTGTAATGTAGAGTTCTGAAACCTACAATGGGCCTTCGCGCCAAAATTCAAACTATTGGGTATTGTAACGTAGTGCTCTGTTAAGGGTTAGGAGGAATGTTATCCCAGGAAATTGATAAAACATTACGTTATACACCACTAAAATTTTTTTTGGACAGTATTTATTTTTTTGTAATGTGGTATTAAAAAATACATACAACCCTATATTTTCTCTTCTACTACCTGCCCCTATTTTTATGGCGGTACAAAGTTCTATGGGTCAGCTAGTTTTATATAAAATTTGTACAGAATTTATGCGCAACGAATATAGATTTGCGCCAAACGAAAGTTGAATGAACGAAAATATTTAATCACCATAAATAGTTTATCTGTTTTGCTTCCATTTGGCATGTGATTATCCAATTCTTTAATTTAATAACATTAATTAAAACACAGTTTATGACCAAAGGAATGATTTATGAATAAACATTATATGCAAACAGAAATGATAATACATAATAATAATTAGTCAAGTTGACGGACGGATATATAAATTTAGCAATTTAAGTAGCAATAAGCTAGTACGCAAATGATTCACATGACGCAATAAATTGGCAAAGCGTCTTCAGAGAATCTGTCTAACAAATAGCATTCTGTCTGTCACTAAAGCCGGGTAATTGTGAGATTAAATTGAACCCGAACACAGCTCGCTAACTCGGAAACATCCTGTTAAATAGGGGGTGCGTGTTAATCGTAGGCACGTGGTCGGGATCAGCCATTTCGTGATCGTTTGTTCGGCTTGTTATTATTAAAACAATCCTCTTTGTTTACAACTAAAAGTTGGGAATATTAAAATTTTCTAAATTTTGATAAATAATACTAGATGTAAGGCTTAGGATCATCATCATCATCAAACTGTTAACCAACTTCATTCTTAGAATATACTAGTGGCCCGCCCTTGCTTTGCTTCGGCGTAGAGCTGAAGTGTAGACTACAGTTTTTGTTCTCAGGCTTGTATTATATACAATGACATTCATCTATGATTCTTCTTATACCTGCATGCAAAGTCTCAGCCCGATCGGTTTAAAATTGACAAAGTTTCAAAAAAACTTCCATTCCCTATTTTTTTATCCCTTTGGGGGTAGAATTGATCAAAATACTTTCTTAGCGGATGCCTACGTCATAACATCTACCTGCATGCCAAATTTCAGCCCCCGATTTCAGATCACTATGTCAGTCAGTCACCTTTGAGTTTTAAATATATAGATTTATTGTTTTTTAGTGTATATTCCCATACAATCATTGTTTTTATTCGTCAATGCACGCAATGAATGCATTTATGCATTCGTTGAAAAAACCTAGTCCTCTTTAGGGATCTCTTCAAAGGCTTCAAGGAACTCGTTCACCGCCGATCCAGGGCTCCGTATAACGTGTCTGTCTAAGTAGGCATGTCTTTAATTTCTGGAAACAAAAAGAATCCCTAAGGAATCTAAACTTTTTTCAGGATAAAAAGTAACTTCAAGATTCAGCCGTTTTGCGTGATTGAGTAACAGACATACAGACTTTCATATTTATAATATTAGTTGGATACGGTTTGTACTGATGCGCTGATAGCGAGTTTGACTGTTTGAATAAGTGGGTGGAGCCTGTGTTAGGGTGAGGCCAAACGAGCGTAATTTTGTGAGTGGTGAGTCGCAGAATTTCGGTCGCAGAAATTCTGCTGCATTTGGTTTCATACAAAGAGGCAGTTGGTGCCACACGACAACGCAAAATGAGTTGTCTGCCGACTCAATGCGCATAAGCTCGTCCGAATTTCGGTCAGGGTGAGGGTAGGGCAAGGAAGGGGAGTTGCTTCCCCAACAGTTTGTTACAAGTTGCGTGGTGTAATAATTCTTGAAAAACACGTAATGGCATATGATAGTACTTTTCAAACATATCTGGATTTGCACATAAACGTTCATATAAAGTATGGTCAAGTACTGTCCACATATCAGCCTCTGATTATTCAGTGGGTTTACCCAGTTTCTTTTTCTGGCCTCATCTTCTGAATATGCTTTGTACCTAAATACACAATATTTTTAATGGATTCATTGCACTCGACGACACGAACACCCCGTACTAACCACTCAATAGGAACTGAATAAATTACGTTCGTATGGCAGCTCAACAGAAATTCAGTTGAACGTAAAATAATTGACCGAAAATAAGCGACTCACAACTCACAAAATTACGCTCGTTTGGCTTCACCCTTAGGAATGCAATGCGTATAAGTCGCGGCACGAAACTCTAGAGCTGACCGGTATTGCGCAGAAGTAAAAATTAGGATGTCTCGGGGGGAAACGAGGTGCGCGGGTGGGCGTGCGTTGCGCCGATTGGCTCTACAGTCGTACCCATGCGCTTTTCTTTGAGAGTGTATGCTGTTAGTCGCAGATGACCTTTACAGCGTCACCGGGTTTGGGGACGGCGAGATCCTAAGGGGACCTCAAGCCGAGAATTTGCTGGCAGTGATTCCCAAACTGGTCTATATCGACCCCTAGGGGTCTATGACAACCTGCAAAGGCTCTACGTCAGCGAAAAAAAATCAATATCAGGTAAGTAGGGGGTCTACCCAACACGGAAAAACATGGTAAGGGGTCTACGACACAAAAAAATTTGGGGAACTCTGCTCTAGAGGTATTCTAGGTGGATGGCATCTCCCCACGGACAGAGTCTCTCTCTCCGTCTGGAGCCTCTAGACCACTCGAACTTGAGGGGGTCGGCTCAACTAGAGGGCGTCTCTGAGACTCGGACCTCGGCTCTAGTTAGCCGTTGTTATGTGGGGCGGGGAAAAACGTCCAGGTACGTATTTGTATCTGGTTTAGCGTGTCGTGTGTAGACCGGGTCTTATCTCTCTATTATCCTCTTTAACTCTTATCCTAACCCATGAGCAGCTGCTCATCCCCTCCGCGTTTTGTTCAGCGCTAGAGTTACGTGCCGCGACCTGTATGCGTCGTTGCGTCATTGCACGGTTCCCAACTTAGGGGTTTTGCCCCCAGATTCAGGGGCTAGAAGGGTTAAAACGGACTTTTTAGGGGGCTGGAATTTTTTAGGGGAGGTTCTTTTAGGGGCTTTTAACAAAACTTGCAATTAAATAGAAAGCCTGTGTTTTCTTTCAGTTTTGTGCGTAGAATGGAACACACTACAATATGAAACGACTGTACTGACTGTGTGGCAGGTTGTTTCCTAAGGCTGTATGGACTTAAGTTCTTTGCCTTCCACCAATCAAAACAGCTAATTAAGATTTAACAGCCTGTCAGCTTATTTTCGTTTGATTTTCCATTCGGAAAATGTAATTATTCAATAAAATAATTTACTGTAACTAAATATGTAACGTATTAATTTATGAGCAACGAAAGAATTTAGGTAATAAGATAATTCTACATATAAATTTCTATATTTAGGGGATTTTAGGGGAATTTAAAAAAAACTTAGGGTAAAATTTTGGGAAGGGTTAGTAACACTGCGTCATTGAAATTTTTAGTCTCAGTCAAACACTGCTACCATCCAGCCGCGTCCATTATTTTCGACAAAAGTACATCGTAAATGATTCCCGCTGTGGTGGGTTTCCAATAATGTCTAGGTTCAATAAAATCTGTAATGATGTTCTCTCCTTTCTAAAAGTTTAAAATGTTAAACACTATGTAACGCCAGTACTGTTCCAATTCCTAT